GTATATATATGTACATATATATGGTCAAAAATGTCATTTCTGATCTCTTTTTGGACAAAACATTGCATTAGTTCAAATAGCAACATGCATATTTTGAACAATTTGAGGCCAAAACTAGGTGTTCATGACCAATGGTTATACAGGTATAGACATGCTATAAGGTCCTTTGTGTCAAAAGTCAAAAATGTCATTTCCGGTCACTTTTAGAAAAAATGTTGCATTAGTGCAAATAAAGATATATATGTTCCGAACAAATTGAGGCTAAACTTAGGTCTCTATGACCAATGGTTAAGGAGATTTAAATATCCTACAGGGTACCTAAGGTCAAAGTTTATAAAATTTCCGGTCACTTTAGGAAAACATGTTGCATAATAGGAATATGCATGTTCTGAAACATTTGATTTCAAAATTAGGTTTCTGTGGCCAACCGTTTTATGAGTTATGGGTGATCCTGGATATCTAGGGTCAAAGGTCAGAAATTTTTTTTTGTTCACTTTTGGGCAAAATTTTACATTAGAGCAAATAGAAACATGCATCTTCTGAACATATTGAAGCCGAAACTAGGTCTCTATGACTAACAGTTTTGGAGATATGATATGCCGGTTCATGTAGGCTCAAAGGTCAAAAATGGCATTTCCGATCACTTTTGGAAAAAATGCTACATTAGAACAAAAAGCAACATGTATGTTCCCAACAAGTTGAGACCAAAACTAAGTCTGTACGATTTTCCATTGCCAAGATATATGGATCCCGTCTTTTAGAGGCGGTCATTTTAAATTCAAAATGGCGGCCATAGCAGGCGTCAGAAACTTGGCACACATTTTTTTTTTAAATTCACACAAATTAAAGATATTTTGTGCCAAGTTTCATGCTTTGGTAATAAAGTGCACAACTTGACCCATAGCTGCTCTACTAAAATGCGCAACCTGGTGCTTTAGCTGCTCTACTATAGCAGTTAATTATGGTATTTTCAATATCCTAAGAGTTTAAGTGCTTAGGAAAATTTTTACATTTGCGGTTGACATGTTATGACACTTGAGGTAAAAATGGAAATTTTTACATTTGTAGGTGAAATGTTATGACACTTGAGGTAAAAATGGAAATTTTTACATTTGTAGGTGAAATGTTACTACATTTGTGGTTAAACAGATTTTTACATTTGTGGGCGATTTTTTTTTACATTTGTGGTTGACATGTTAGAATGTTTTGACATTTGTGGTTATTTTTACATTTGTGGTAGATTTTTAAATTTGTGGGCTCTACAGTCCTAACATACACACAGGTAAACACACGTAAGGCTTTATTCCCGCCTAATATATTATTAACTAAAACTACTTCATTCAAAATTTTTAGAACGCTGATATTAAATTCAAAGAAACAACCCCTGTAACAAAATTGTTTGTTTGTGTTCTAAGCCGATGTAATACCAATTGTTCGCACCAAGACCGTTAGTATAGGCGATGGTAACGTTACATTGGGTGTACTGTGTGAGGCTACTGGATGTACAGGTACTGGAGCTTTACGATGGGAAAAGGACGGAATTCGAATGGATAATTGGAATAAAGAGTCGGAGATTTTATTCGAAAACATTTCCTCAGCTGACGACGGGATATATGAATGTTATAAACAAAATGAACAAAACGAAAGAATAAAACACGCCTTTATGCAGCTGATAGTAAGAGGTAGGTGTTTATTACTGATGTTAATTATTTCCGTATAGCACGGCCGGGTTTGTGTATTTAATTGTTATACTAATAAAAATATTAAGATAGGAAAAAACATTTCTTGACAATGATGAATCAGAGGCCTAAATTTTTTTAAGTAATGTAAAAAAAAGTTCGAGAGTGCCGTTTCATAACGAGATACGATATAAAAGTTTGTATATTATCAGCTCCAAATATGGTGGAGCTGTGATATAGGACTATGGATACTCATTCTGAAATATTCCCCACCTTCGGCCTCCTCTAAGAACGAATAAATTTTTGCCATCTTGCTATCGGCTACCTACTTTGTTAGTTAGAACTAATGCGTTCAATTATTTTGTCTGTTTTAGATTTGCCTGTTTTATTATATGAAACTCCTTTATTTCGTCTTTGACGATTTTAGAGAATATTGAAAACTGAAGAAATTGTTCGACTTTATCCTCTTTTGTCGATGACATTCTACCGAACACAACACTGAAACATTTGACCTGTGGCGGATGCAGGATTTGGCAGTAGGAGGTGCGTGAGAGTCCACGCCACCTCAGTCCCAAATATGGTTGGGGCTGAGGTTTGACAATTTTGAGAATATGGACCTCTAGGTGCTCGGAAATTGCACTCTCATACCTTAAAACCTCATAATTCATATCAAAAAATCGATACAACAATTATTATTATTCTTGCAATTAAGGGATGTGCGTTTGCACCGTGTGCACAAACCCCCTCCCCCAATTTACCCCTGGTGATTCACACTTTATTATTGTTTAGCAATATTGATCTATGTTTTAGAATGTCCACATAACAAATGGTCTCCGCCTGATTGTACCAAGGACTGTGAGGTGTGCTATAACGGAGGGGTATGTGATACATACATTGGAACCTGTATATGTCCTTCGGGATTTTATGGAAGGAGATGCGAAAAATGTGAGTTGGTTTATAATATACAAATATAGCATAATTCAGTGTTAACATAACTAGTAAAGGGGTGCTTTCAATTCTACTACATGACTTTGTAAACTGGAGGGATTACGTTTAAATGTATCAATGCTTCGTAACTTACAAAATTAAATTCAATATTTAAATTGCTTTGTTGTGTTATTAGCCTACAACATTTAGAATGAGAAAAAAAAAACTTCTTTTAACGGAGGTATTAATACTACAGCTTACGTCCTTTTGCATAGACCCTTGAATTGACTAGGAATCAATTTATGCAAAAAATTGTAAACCATTGAAAAATCAGTTATTTTTATATGTAATTAAATTAAAGTTGACATTTGAATAATAAAAATATAATTATATGCAATGAGATTTTAATTATATATAAATATAGGTAAATCATTTAAAAACAGATTGTAAAAATAATGAAGAAAAAAATCTCAGTAAAATTATAATTATATAAAATGAATTACGGAAATTACAGAAAAAAGAAAAAAATTACCCCTTAATGACCTTTGACTCCTTATCCCTGAACACCCTATAGACTCTGCTTAATGCCAATGTATATCTGCAAAGGACAAGACTGTGCTACGTTATTTGTGAGACATATAGTCTTTTATACGATTTTTGGTTTTTTGACCCTAATGCCCCTTATGTGACCTTTGATTCCAAGTTGTGAACAACACATAAATGGGAGGTGGCACCGGTTCTACTGACCAAGTTTTAATTAAATCGGTCCAGTAGTTTGCCACTAGCAGCCTTTTAAAATGTTGCCAGAAAGAAAGAAAGAAAGAAGGAAGGAAGAAACTGCTAAGAAACAGAACCCAGTCAGCTGCTGATGACTGGGTAATAAATGTATCAAAACAACGAAAGTTGTATATTGTTCCAGATTCTAGTGCTATGACAGCAGAATGACTAATTAAATTGCACAAGGAGAACAACAAATCACATGATTAAGAGTCAAATCATATCTGAAAGTATGTAGAAAGAAAAACCAATATATCCCCATGATATATACTACTAAATAACACAGTTAGCCTATGCCAATATCAAGAAAAAAAATGTTTTTATCACTTAAAAGTTGTAAAATATAAATGTGAATGAAATATTGTTATTTTAAATCAATCGTGTTTGTAGTTGATGCAATAGAAATGATATGATTCCACTTAATAGGGGTTAAAATGTATTTTGAACATTTTGAAAACTCAGAAAGTCTCCCCTTAATAGGGTTGGCAGTAGTGTTAATATATACATATATATATATATATATATTTCCATTTGGTTCACCGAAAAGTGTCTCCTTAAGTGGTGTTTCCCAAAGGAGAGGTTCCTGTCATATGCTATCCGGGATGCGCCGGGATAGCAAAATTACTCCACTAATACTCTCCGTCCTATACTACATTGCATTACTGGTTGAGGGCTTTACTCTATACTCAGGGACCAGTCATTGTAATATGACTGCTCCCTGCTCCACTAAGGTCCCATGCTCCCCATATTTTTGTACTAACCGAACCATGTGTTTTGGCTTAAGGACGTTACTCCACACATGTCCTGTGTATATCTCCATTATAAACGAACACTAACCAACTATGCATTTTGGGTAAGAGGATTTTCAAGATTCAATTATTTTAATGCTACAAGAGTCATCGAGGGCAATTATCCGCAATCACAAATTCACAATCACAAAAACAATTAAAATAACAATTTAAATAAGAAACGCCAAAGCTATGTCCTAATGCTGAGTTCTTTACCGTAGTAAAAATGAATGTCACGATATTGAAGGTAATTATTTGTTATGGCAGTTTAAAAATAGCAAAATAACGAATGGTAACTGTTGGTGAAGACATTTTGAGAATTAGTAAAGAATACCTTTGAGTACGTTGTTGCCTCGAGTATGGGATGAAAAGGGTGAAAGGATGTATCTCGGGATTGCTTCCTAAGCAAAATGCGATTGCCTGCCCTCAATTGTTGTCTATCATCATGACTATCATCCTCATTATCACGATCATCATCATCAACATCATCATTATTTATTATTATTATTATTATTATTATTATTATTATTGTTGTTGTTGTTGTTGTTGTTGTTATTTCTTTTTCATTATCATTATACTCATACTATATTCTTAATTTAGTGAGAAAAACATTATTCCAAGCAGCCAAGTTATTTATCTGTAGCATTTTTTTTATATGAAATTGTATGTTTACTATTTTTAGTATTACTGTATTTGCACGATAAATGTGTATTTCGTTTTCCCGCTGCTGGTGATAATCGATTTGGACGTGATGGTCAATTCCCATGCAACAGTGTAACCGAAGGCGGATGCATTGGGAATCTGTTTTGTCCACTATCATCATCATCATCATCATCATCATCATCATCATCTTCATCATCATCATCATCATCATCATCATCATCATCATCATCATCATCATCATCATCATCATCATCATCATCATCATCATCACCATCATCATCATCATCATTATCATCATCATGTTATTATTATTATTATTATTATTATTATTATTATTATTATTATTATTATTATTATTATTATTATTATTATTTTATTATTATTATTATTATTATTATTATTATTATTATTATTATTATTATTATTATTATTATTATTATTATTATTATTGTTATTATTATTATTATTATTATTACATGTTTACTGTTTTTAGTTTTATTTGCAGTGGCACCATAATGTGTTTTTTGTTTTCCAGCTGCTGGTGATAATCGATTTGGACGGGATGGTCGAATCCCATGTAGCAGTGAAAATGGCGGATCATGCATTGGGAATCTGATTTGTCCACCTTTGCCACAAGGTTGTGCCTGTCACGCTGGCTGGAAAGGACTCGACTGTAGAACGGGTAAGTTTAATATCGGAAAGAAAAATACAAGTTCAATCTTTAATTTATTATGAAAATTCTCAATAATCAAGTATGATAAATTGAGAGATACCGTAAATAACGTAGAAGAACTTAACTTCTGTACTATCAGCTTTTCTAAAATTAAAATAATACCATCATAAACCAATCATTTAAATTGAGTAAGGACAATAGGATTTACTGCCCAGAAGACGTCATTGAGTAAGGACAATAGGATTTACTGCCCAGAAGACGTCTGCCCAAATCTGGAATATATTAATATCGTAGCACTATTCTTTTAAGCGTTTTACCATTAAGGGCATTTAAGCTAATTAAAATATCGTAGACCTAAAATAAGACGAAACTTTTTTTCTCTCTATTTAAAAAAAAAATTATTTCCAAAAAAAAAAACACATTGAAACACAACTTCACTAAATTCTGTAATATTAACTTTCCTAATATTAAAAATATTACCATCATAGACCAATCGTGTACTATAAGTAAGGACAACATTGGAAGATAATTTACATTTTTATTCAGATAACAAGTGCACACCTTCATCTATTGTTAAAATAATGTTAATGATACTAAACAAATATAATAAAAACACCAACAACTATAATGGGAAAAACAACAACAAAAATAATACTTATTTATGATATTAATATGTACTGTTGTATTGTATAGAATGTGCAGGTTACATGTATGGCGCTGACTGTCTACAAGATTGTCATTGTGACGCTTCTGAGTGTGATCGTTCAAGAGGATGTAATGTGAATGCAACATGCCACCCTGGATACGTAGGCGAAAGATGTTTAGGTAACACTAAGTAGGCCTATGTCAAATTAACGTGGACCTATACGTATTATATCTCCATGATAGTTTGTAAAATGTTTATACTAGTAGTCCTCGATCAACAATTAAATAATCAGTAAGGATTGTTTTTATAGACTGAAAACACAATTATGAAGTACCGGTAGTGTATGCATAATCTGGACATAGCCTAATGCTGTATAATAATATACATAGTGTTCATTTTAGTGTATATATTTAATATTTAATTTATGGCTATGAAAGAAGAGGGGCCTAAGGAAAGAATTTCACAGATGAACAGTCTAGACTACCTCAAGTGTGGTGTGGCGTGTGGGGGACTGGCTTGACTCCCCTCCCCCTTAAAATCCGCTACTTTTTGTTTTTTTGGAAAACAATATTATTATAGAATGTGAAGTTGGCATGTATGGCGCTGAGTGTCTACAGGATTGTCATTGTGACGATGATGAGTGTAAGCCTTCTATGATCACATTCATCGTTGTAACATTAAAATCACAATCCCAATCGGTTTGCCGGTTAAAATCCAGCTAGCATAGGATTTTAATTGAAGTCGGGTACTTGACTCCTCGAATAACCATCACCTGGTTGTGCTGGCGATTTCTGTGTTTTATTTATTTATTACCATTTTATTAACCATTAGGCCCTATATCATTAATTTGATCATCCTATAGCTCCATTATATTTATTATCATATTATTATTATTATTATTATTATTATTATTATTATTATTATTATTATTATTATTATTGTTGTTGTTGTTGTTGCTGTTGTTATTCTTATTATCATTATCATATTATTATTTTTATTATTATATTATTTCTATTATCATTATTATGACTATTATTATTATTATGATTATTATTTGTGTATTATTATTATTATTTGTGTATTATTATTATTACTGTATTTATATTATTATCATCGTTATTACTATTATTATTTTATATAAAAGAATCCCATACTAGATAAGTTTTTCACATAAAATTTGATAATGTGAGAAGAACTTAATATTTCTTTGTACGTTTTTATTGCAGTTAAAAATATAACTGAAAATTCGAGTCATACGACGTCTGGTGCAAGTACAACTAATGGTAACGTACTTAGTGTCAAACTAACATGGACCTTTAATTGAAATTATAGCTCCATGATAGTTTGTTTAGGCATGGAGGAATATGTTTAGACTGAACTTATTCTTCCATGGTTTAATTTAAGTGTATCAGTCAATCGCGATCCCTGTCGGTGTATATGATGAAGAATGGTTTAGGTCAGTTTAAGAAAGATTATACACTAACCACTTCTTTTACAGCATCATTGAGGTTATTAAAATGTACCGGTACTAGATATTTTTAACGGGCAAAGTAGTTTTCGGAGATTTTTCAGATTGCAATTGACTCGAAAAAACATTCCATGTCATCCATCACTGGACCTCTGGCTTCCGATGTAGTCTTCCAATAGAGCCCATTGCTGGGCGACTCTCAACTTGTTCGAGGGAAATGTTTCTGGACAACATGTCGAATGCATTAAACCTGTATAATGAATATAAGAACTGAAGAAATATGACGGGAATAAACATGTTGAAAAAAGTAATGAATTTTGAAATTATTCACGATAACGTGCATTTAAAGGAAATATTTATTGTTTAAATGTTCATAATAGAGCCTATTATTACCGATACCAATTTTGAGTGGAGGTGTTTCTCCATAAAAAAAAGTTACAATCATCTGATTTACTATTGTTTATCGCCCCTTAGTACGCAATTATATTGAGAAATGGGAACAATCGAAGGGTGTATACAACTATGGCGCCAGCTCAGTTTGTAGAGTATCTGAGCGGCAATCGGAAGGTCTTAGTTCGAATCCCCACCTTCATTTTGCGAGTTTATTTGGTGTAGATTTCCCCTCAACTAAGAAGGCAGAATTATGTAACTATTTGCGCCTCCTCAAATTTCTTTTACCTGTTTGTATAGTAATTAATAATAAGCACAGCATATCTGTGTATTGTGAAAGCCATGAGCGTAAATACTGCATGGTAAGTTAAAATAAAAACAAAATGCTGGATGATCCCCAAAGAAGACAAGGAAAAACAATGTGTGCCTCTTTTCATTCTGTCATATATTTATATTTCGTTTTATAACTTTATTTTTCGTCTATAGATGCCGAGTACAGGAATGGATTGGAACTACAAATAATGGCGTATTTTATACTTCGCTAAAGCTGGTCATAATATTCAATAGGAGTTTCAAACAATATTTAACAGTAACATCGGCATTGATATCGACTTTCTAATACGGTCGTGGAAATATAATATTTACATTACACAAATTATACATTGTGTATGTACAGTATGATACGATTAAAGCATATGGTCTGTGCGTTATTACAATACCATAGAATGAGACTGTTTCAGCATTAACAACCATAGTCCCACGTTCATTCTACAATATCAGCGACACTTGTATTGTATCTTGCCATGTCTTGGCTCTGTTGATCAATATTGAACAAATTCGTGATTTTCTACGAGGATATTTTTTACAAAGCAAAGGCCTACCAACAAACTATGCATGTACCAATTGGCTCTTTAGCGTCAAGACGCCCTTAAAAATTACAATACTGAATGACTCGTTTATGTTACATTGAAACGTAGCTTAAGCGGTACTTTACAGTCAGGCTATCAAACCAATACAAAACAATTAAAAAAATTATTAATCGATTAAAGAATATGGATGATATTATAGATTGCCTATATTGTTACTTGGAGCGATTTTTCAAGAACTTAAGAATGGACTGCTGTTATTCTGGGATATAAAAGACCAATTAAACTTCAGCATCATCATTCGCTCCTTGATGCTTTCACTTGATGATATTCTCTCTACAGTTTGCATATTATAATTGAAAATCGGCCGATGAAAATTTTGATAATTACTGTAAATATGTATTTGGTAGAAAATATTAATTGGAAGGTCTTGGGTTCAAATCCCGATGAGGACAATTACACGTTTTCTCAAACCTTCATTATTATCATTATTTACCACCAGTGGAGGTGTAATTCCGTACCAACGTTACAATCATTTGCTGTAAAAAAATATATAATAGGCCTATATAATATACAATATAATGTGTATTTATATATGAATATAAATTTAGAATGGATAATGACGAAATCATCTCAAATATTTTGTAAATCCAATAAAGTAGAAATCATTGTTACTAATTTAAGTTTTCTTAAATCTTTGTATTATTAAGAGGACTATTTAAATGGGCATCTATTTGTAATAATAATAATAATAATAATAATAATAATAATAATAATAATAATAATAATAATAATAATAAAAATAATAATAATAATAATAATAATATTATTATTATTATTAATAATATTATTATTATTATTATTATCATTATTTTTATTATTATTATTATTATTAATATTACTGATTCTAATTTTACCGTTATATCTTTTATGATTATTAGTATTGTTATTATAACTATCATTATCAATAGCTATCATATTATTACCATCATTATTTTCATTTTTTTTAAACTATTGACTCTGATTATTATGATGTATCTATTTTTTTTGTCCATGTATTATTTTGAATCTCTAATTTTCACAGATTTTTATGTAGATGGTTATTTTATTGTTTTATATATACTTGTGTGTGTTTTTTAACGTGTATAAACCATCAATTTGATGTGTGCCGCCGATACTAAAACGATTTCAAATTAAGTCTGAATTTGAATCTAGTATTCAATTTTACATTGATCAATAATTTGGGAATATGCTAGACTAATTGTATTATTCAATTAAGATAATTTTGATCTTATATTATTCAATCAAATCATATTTTACAATCAATCAATCAATCAATCAATTATCCAACTGATTGATCGATTAATCAACCAACATATCACTAAACTGATCAATCACCTATAATCCAACAAATCGATAAATCAACCGACATTATTAGTCAACAAAACAATCAGCCTGTGATCCAACAAATCAATCAATCAACCGACATTATCAGTCAACCAATCAATCAGCTCGTAATCCAACAAATCGATCAATCAATTAACACATCAGTCAATCAATCAGCCTGTAATTTACAGATCGATCAATCAATCCAAAAAATCAATCAATATACCAGTAAACATATAAGTCAATTGAATTTATCAGCCTATAATGCAACAAATCAATCAATCAACCAACCAACATCAGTGAATCAATCAATCAGCCTATTCTCCAACATGTCGATTAGTCGACCAACGTTAACATATAACCAACAAATCGATTGAATCAATTAACATATCAGGCAACCAAACAATCAAAATATAATTCATTGTTATATTGTTTCATTATATTTATATATATTTTAATGTTGTTGTTAAGCCGCATCTCAAGGTTTTTTTTTTTTAAATTTAGCCCCATATATATGGCCTAGATATTGATTTTTTATTATTATTTTAATTATTATTATTATTATTATTGTTATTATTATTATTATTATTATTAATAATATTATTAATATTATTATTATTATTGTATAACGAAGACTCTGAAAGGTAACATTTTCACTATCATTATTATTATTATTAGTTGAAATGCAATAGTCAAAATCATTCAAACAATACTAAAACAAACCATAATCGATAAGAGAATATAAATTGTAAAATTTACTGTATTCAGAACTCTGTAAATGTTTTGTATGATGATAATTTATTTGTTATGATGTTACATTTTTAAATAAAATTAAAAGAAAGATAATATCTTGGAGACATGAGACATGGAATAGGTGCTATAATGAGCAGTAAAATAGCAGTATGCACTTTAGTTAGCGTGGTGATTTATGCATTAGACGTGTGCATCCCCTCTTTGCACCGCATCCAAACTGTATTTTCCGTTTTTATAAAAATGTAATAACCTGTGTCAGTACGTGGCTGTCTATTATAACTTTTGATTTAACTATGTACTACAGCTGTTCTGTTTTGTCATTGAATGAAAATAACAATTGCACTCCAATCCGGTTGTTATCTTTTCTTTATTTTTTCAAGCTCAAGTGTATTTATTTCACACAACGAATACATAATTGATAAATTATTCTATAAAATAACTAAACTATTATCTCGTTTCGTCTTGTATTGTCATTTAAATAAACTGTTCCTTGCTGATACTGTCAATTCACGGATTTCTGAAAGCTTTGTGAACTGCTAAACTGTTCACACTGTTCTCTGGTTGAAGGGAAAAAGGGCAGCTCGAAACATAATATCGGAATAATGTAACGTTAATGTTGCATACTGTGGAGTATGCGTGCCCCACCTTTTCTCGGATGCAAGTTGGCCATAGACGGACAACCACTACTATGAGCCGGTGCCAGTATTCTGTGTATCACTGGACATTTTATCAGTATAAATATAAAATTATAGGTAGTTGATACAAACAGTGCTTAAAATTTAGCAACAAATGATGATATACATTATAGGACTACCTATTATAAATAGCCCTTCAACGAAAACAGTTGTGTGAAAAAAATGCGCTATTTAGTCTGTACTTCATGTTGGATATCTGAAGATTGAAACATTCGCCGGACATCTCATCTATCTTTCCTACTGTACGCATTACAAACCTCTATAAAATTGAACTTTCAAAAAAATAAAAAATTTGACATTTGGTAATTGAAATTGATGCTCGTTAATGTACAGTATTAATATTTAATAAAGCTAATCAACAAAATGCATCAAATTAATTTTGGAATCCGTGGTATATAAGTGTAACCGAGGTGTCATAGACTTCTATTATCGTTTTGATTAGGACTACAATAATATTCTAATCTGCACGCACGTTTTATTTAATCAGTCTACACTAATTGCATCGTTTGTAGATTGATGGTATTTACATTGGCTGACTATATATTGACAAATGAACGACGCCTACTTCATAATCTGAGCAAGTATTTCGAAAACAGGCAAAGTTTAGAAGGCAAAGCGCGGTTCTTAAGACCAACCAGAAAACTGATTGCTAGCATCGTTGATTTGTCCGCGGCAGTTGTCGGCAGATGTGAGCAAATGAAATGTTTTTCTTAAAGGTAAATACAATTGATTATTATTGTACATATTTGCTATTAAGTTGTGAAAAATGGGTGGATGACATCCTTAACCCCTACACTTTTTTTACAAAGTTCTAATCAGTACAAACGTCCACAATGAGTCAATCTACACGGATCATATCACGTGGTGCATATTGTTTATACAGAACTACTGTATAATGACGAAGAAAAATACACTTGACATGTATATCGTTGAAACGTTAAGTTTATAAGGACTAGCATAGTTCTTTAGACAAAACAAACAACTAATTATTGACATTATTGAACCCGGTTGTCGGAAAGTGAGCCGGTGAAATGTGTTTCTTAAAGGTAGTTACACTTTTTATATTTTATCAATTTGAGGAAATGCATGCCAATAAAAAACCTATATTATATATTGGATAATTATCTTAAAAGTATGGCAGCACAAATTCCATACTCAACAATAAATGCCCCTGGGCCTTTATTCAAATAAAAAAAAAGTGCAAGTAAAAATACAAAAATCTAAACAATTAAACCAATATAAATGGAATACAATCCAAGCGAGATTTGAAATAAAAATTATTAAACGTATACATTCATCCAGTATCATTCATGTGCTTCTCTCACGAAACTTGTTAATAAAGCTGATCGACTATCGATGAAGGCTCGTAATTAATTTTCTACTACTCTAGAGTTTGTTTACAATATATTAAATAGTATATTTCTTTGCGTAATTAATTAATAATTATCAAAGGACTTGGACACCGGGACATCGTCAATATACGTACAAGTTAGAAAATAATAATAATAATAATAATAATAATAATAATAATAATAATAATAATAATAATAACTATAGACCTGATAGAGATTCTATTGTAAAGTAAATACTGAATGAATATATTAAACCAGTGGCAGATTAAAAGGAAGAAGGGGGGGGGAATTAAAAACAAAGGAAGCAAAAATTTAAAAAAAAAAAAAAAAAATTCTACTCAGATTTTAAGTCTAATTTCAGAGGTGTCATAATCATAAATGTTCAATTTTCTTACCTCAGCCACAACTATGGTGGGGCTGACGTACATAGACCCTCCATTTTGTAAAAGTTCTTCTCTGCCCCCCTCTACTTAAAATTCCTGGATCCGCCACTGTAAATTTGATATGTTATGAATCTTTTCAGCTCTAAGTTTCAATAAAAGGAAGGATAGTTTTTGCTTATCATGTTTCCATATTTTATATTGCATGACTTGGTGAAGCACTTTATAATCGATTAGTCCTCTAATCCGTTAAAAGGAAGTATTTCCGGGGCCTCACCCCGGCTCCCACAGGGGATGGCCCCCACAGGGGATCGTCCCCTCGATCCTACTGGGCCCCAGGCGGCCCCCAGCCAACCGGTCCGGGCAGCTAAGCTTCCCCGGCCCACAGCCGCTCTCGGCGGCCCTGATAATGTGAAATAGGCCTATATAAATATATTAAAGTCATTTGTGTTGGCCATTGATGCTGGGTTGGTGATGCCTCTTTTAGTGTCAATCAGTAAATGATTGGTGAGAATTATCCGTTTTTCTTTCAGGAGTATGAAATCGTAATAGGAATCTTGTAATATTTAATCTGAAATTGATAAGCTTAACAATGTACTTGGGAATTCATAGGGAATTACTGAAATATGCTATGGCCTATGCTGTCCTGTATGTCATGCACAAAATAAATATTCTTTACAAAAACATTTTATATTATTATATTTAAACAAGTTGATTGCTTATTATTGTAATCATACTAATGATCCTGACGTACTGAGGAGAGTTTTATCGAATTTGATTTGTACCTGTGGTGTCATTTTATTTACAGTATAATATTTAGGATTCACTATTTTTATTTTACTAAAATTTAACTAAATGAGAAGACCTTGTTTGCAAGGATATAATGTTTTTTTTTTTTTTTTGTTTTTTTATTAATCAAATTAGTTAATAGTAGATCTTAAAGAGGACCGATAAATATTGTTCAAATATTATTTTAACAGGAATTGTGTTTCTTGATAGCTCTGATTGGACATTCTACAGGTAATAATACAGAGTAACACGTTGATTTTCTTGATATGTTCTCTACTTGCGTTAATCCTTAACACAATTCGAATTAGCGCTTCATACTTTAAAGTTCAACATTTAAGTTAACCTTTGATATGAATTTAAAAGTTGAAAATTCAAATCAAACAACAGCATTTGTACAAATTCTGCTTCGATTAATATTTTTCATTGTAAACAAAATCACTACTTGATATTGTTTGCCTCCATCGTGTGAATATTTTTTTTATGTGCCGGCGTTGCCACCTAAATAATAAGACAGAAATTAGTCGATATTGGTAGTGCCTTGATCATGTGCCTAAAGGAATAAAATGAAAAAAAAATATGTAATGTTTTGTTTCTAATTCAAGCTTCAGCCTTAAATATATAACAATAGTTTGTGTGAATTACATTTTATTTACGTAGGCCTATGTATAATAGCTTCCTTGAAGGTTATTTTCATGTTTTAGGTAATGATGGTAATGATGGTGAGTTCAAATTCAATATGGTAGGCTTCACTTCAACTCCTGTTGTTGATGATAGTGGGCAAAATGATGTTCGTGGTTATACACTGGGCTCCGATAGATCATATAATATCACACTCAACATTTCACTCGTAGTCGACACAAATCTATCAGGACAACTGCTATGCGAAAATCCTCCCTTGTATGTTGGATTCAAGGAGGTAGTTAAATGTAAGCCAGATAAAAATGATGATGCAAACTGGACTCTGCTTAAAACTAACGTTATTAGCAACACTACTGAAGCTCGAATAGGCGTATTTACTGCGTACGCTGAGAAGGGTAATCGAAGTGGCACTGCTACTATAATAGTTCACCATGCAAACAGTAAGTTTTATTTTTCATTTTTTCCATTATAAATTCACTATGGTAATTATCAACAACAACTTTGGGAACGTACTGAGTATTCCCTGCGTTAACACGTCAGGTAGGGCAAAAGATCACCCTAACAACACAAACAAGAACAACAACCATAATGATAACAACTACCGTAATAATAATAATAATAATAATAATAATAATAATAATAATAATAATAATAATAATAATAATAATAATATATCAGATATCTAGAAAACTATATCATTTTGCGCTATGCATTATTTTTTACCTCCCAAAAGGGGGCGCCCCTCCTATATCCCCCTGATTGTGATTATTTTATTTTATTGATAATCCTGGGATTTTTTTTATTATCTTGAATACATTTGAATGGTAAAGAACAAATGCAATTCAACTCGTTTTTATATATACTGATTCGTCGTTATAATATTATATTTTGAGGAGGGTGATTCAATCTATGAATTAATATTTTATGAATTGTTGTATACTCATGCTTTCATCCTTAAGCATTTGGGATACTTTTCCTTTCAAATAAAAATGAATAATTAAAACGAATGAATACACAATACTGTAGGGTAAGTTTACTTTCACAGAAACAGTTAAATTTATATTGCGCCAATAGTAAATACTAGAACACTGTTTCACTTGTATTAAACTAGGCCTATTGTAAAACCACATAATGTCTATGTCCTTCTTTTATTTAGGACCTTAGGATGGGCTTCCTTTTCCTTTTGTTAGTACACTGGATAGTATTTGATTTAAATGAATGTCAAGGAAACAGAAATAAACAATAAAAATAAGCCACGTACAAAGCATTCATAAAAAATAAATCGCCATATGCAAGGCTCAAGACTACTAGGCATAGGCTACAGAAAATAAATAGGAATTTTAAAAATAGACAAGATGTATGAAAATAATTTTTGAATTAGAGCTGGAGATGCTTATTAACGTTCCCTCTTCATTGTAAAAAGAAGCCCATTTTTTAGTCTGTAAGAGTAATATTATCTATAAAAAAAAACCTGAAAAGAAGTGCTAATCCTACTATGGGCTTCTTTTTGAGATGGGCTTTTTCGAGATTACTTTTACACACAAAGAGGGGGTTTCTTCTCAATATTGGCTACTTCTTGTGGTTAAGCCTAGCTTTTAGCGGTTAATTAGTAAATATTACATGATTATCAAATTAGTACATATAACCAATTTACAGCTAGTATTTGAAAAACCACGTAACAAAAATTGATTTTTGTTTTCAAAGCCCCTGTAATACCAATTGTTCGCACCAAGACCGTTAGTGTATTTGATAGTAACGTTACATTGAGCGTTTACCAATGTAGCGGAAATATTGAAAGCTTACGATGGGCGAAGAATGGAGATTATAACGAAGAATGGGATGGGCTGACGGAGATTTTATTCGAAATTACAACATTGAATGATTCTGGGATTTACGAATGTTATATAAATGGCAGCCGGAATGAAGGAAAACACGCTTTCATGCAGCTGATAGTAAGAGGTACGGTAGGTAAATGGTAAATTGAACTTATAGCTTATACTGATTAAAAGTAGTTATATCTACGTAGACAATGACCATTACAGCAAAGTTGCGCCCCTTGCATGTTACTATGACGCAACAAAACCACAGGAAGGATGAGCGCGTATGTTAATTTATCTGGATCCTGCTAACCGTTAGCTGCCGTGTGTGAACATAGCCAGTGTTAAAACGTACGCAAAAAAACTTCGTTTGTGGGATAACAACACGTAACACACGCGTATTCTTGGCCCTGCATGCTCTGATTGGTCAGTAGTTATGTTTGTCACTCCGTAAAGGTCCCATTTCGGACTGTAAATTATATGGAAGAATGGATAGATGAGATGATGGATAAGAGTAGAAATGATGAAAGGAGGGATAGCGGGAGAGAGGAAATAAATAATTAATAAAATGAGCTAATGTTTGGATAAATGGATAAACGGAAGAAAAAAAAAAAGCATTGTAAATTGTTTGTATCTTCATCTGTCTGAAATTCCAGAAAACAATGATTTTCGTTAGTTCAAATAAATTCATTTAGTTTAACTTATAGAATATTTCATTTTTTTTTTCTTTTGAAAATATAATAATATTTTTATAATATGATTATTTATATATAATAACATTAATATTGTGAGGTGTTAATTTCATTCAGTGGCGTAGTAATGGGCAATGCAGTCAGTGAAAAGCATTTATTTCGATGAATTTTCTGAAAACGCGAATCGGTATTATAATTGTTATTTTCATTCTTTAAATTCAAAATGTTGGAGCTTCTGCTACCCCACAAGTGCCCTAAACACAGGGTAAATTAGTAGCTCCTCTGCCTACGACGCTTAATATGAAAGGGCCCGGTAGGCCTAAATAATTTTGCACTGGGGACCTTATTCATCTAGACGCCACTAATTTCATCTCATTTTAGATTTAACATTGTATTTACCAGGGTTGACTTGTTTTTCAGAATGTCCACATAACAAATGGTCTCCGCCGAATTGTAATAAGGAGTGTGACGTTTGCTACAATGGAGGGGTGTGCGATACATACATCGGAACTTGCATATGTCCTTCGGGATTTCATGGAAGTAGATGCGAAATATGTGAGTAGGCCTAATATGCAAATACAATATTAGTCATTGTTTATTATCTATTCTTGTAGTGATTTCTACTTAAAATAACTTTGGACTTAACTTAGGATTCTATCAAAGCAATTAGACAAAACCTTTAGAAAATGTATACAAACGACATGTATTATAGAAGCCGGAATAAAATGTGTACTTGTCTAATAATCGAGTATTAATAATATTGAATTGATTAGCGGGTTGATGTACGCACAACGTAACTCTCGCATGTGGTGGCAGAATTTAGGAAAGAAAATATTATTAGATTGCAGCTCGTCTTCAATTGAAATTTAGAAGGACAAAAATCTCATAAATTAGTATACGGGTTTAATGCAGTTTATATATATGTTATCCAACGGCGATTTGGATGGCCGAGCAGTTTAAGGCAGGGGCGCCGCTGTCCGCAACGTAAAGCTGGTTCGAACGACACAGTCGCCGATGGTTCTGTTGGTGGAAAAAGTCTTTTCGGATAAGAATTCTAAACCTGTAAGCCCACTGTACGCAATTTGGCTTATGTGCAATTTGGCTCAATCGAGTTACCCCGGTATACTGGTCCATTCAGCCCCTCTTGTAGACGAGAGAAGTTGGTACTGGTTTACTGGGTACCTCAGATACGAAGAGACTCTTAGAGGAATGGAGAAGCAAGTGACTGTAAGTTGTTAATCTAATCTGTACCGTGAATGTCTATTTGTTTTTCAGCTGCTGGTGGTAATAAATTTGGACGTGATGGTAATATTCCGTGTAAAAGTAAATCTACGGACGAATGCAAAGGGAATCTGATTTGTCCACCTATGCCACAAGGTTGTGCCTGTCACGCTGGCTGGAAAGGCCTCGACTGTAAAACGGGTAAATCTATTATAATGGAAGTTGTCAATGCGATAATACTTATTATAAGCTTTCCAGAAGTTAAAAAATATTTATTAGAATAATAATAATAATAAAAATAATAATAATAATAATAATAATAATAATAATAATAATAATAATGATAATAATAATAATAATAATACTGTAATCACAATAATAATTTAATAATGTAAATTATTATAGCAATAAAAATACAGTAATAATAGGCTTAATAATAATAAGCCTATACTAAAAAAATGCCTAATACTAATAATATATGCGTAATACTAATAAGCCTGTTAATAATCCTCATAACATGGCTAATAATACTTATCGGCCATTAACAAGCTTAATAATAATATATGTAATTTATAAACAAACGCCCATTGTTTATATAGCAGTATATTAAAAAAATATTTATAATAAATATTAATATCATTATGTTTTGTTACATTAAGAATGTGAACCTGTTAAGTATGGCGCTGACTGTCTACAAGATTGTGCACTGTTTTTCGGCGATTGTGACCTTGACCCTGGCCATTCAAAGATTTATCACCTTTAGATTGTGGTCATGGAACATTATGGCCACAATCATTCTGATAAAAATTGTTGGCTGTTCTATACAAAAAAGTACAAAGTTTTTTGTTGTTCGTGATTTTGATTTTTTTTACCCTTTTCCTTCGAAATTTAGTCACCTCTAGATCTTTGGTCATGGATCATTGTGACTAAGTTTGATGCAATTCTGATATAACTTGTTGGCTGTAGGCTGTTATATATAAAAAAGTAGTTTTTCGTCGATTGTGACCTTGAACTTTGACCATGACCCTTAAAAAATTATTCACCTCCAAATCTTTGGTCAAGAAACACTGTGTCCAATAAAAACTGTGGACTTTTCACAGACACACACACTACCTACACACCCCACACATACACACCTACCTAAACACACACACGCACACAGACAGCTAAAATAATAAATAAACATAAATAAATAAATAAACAAACAAACATCGTTGGCGGAGGTAATAAACATGTAAATGAATAAATGAATAAACATAGGCGAAATCATTAATAATATAAATAACAATATCAATAATTATAATAATAATAGCAATAATATCAATAATAATATCAACAATAATAATAATAATACTAGGCCTAATAATAATAATAATAATAATAATAATTATTATTATTATTATTATTATTATTATTATTATTATTACCATTATTACAACCATGTTACAACTACATCATTATTAAAGTAGGGAAAGGGGACACCATCGAAACCAAAACAAAATCTGTTCATTTAATAGTGGTGTCCCCTGAATAAGGCCCTATCCCTATTTAGAGAATACTAACTAAAAACGTAAAACTTTATTCCAAATTTAAGGGGGTTTGGCACACAGTCATACGACAATGGCATAGATGAGATTATATATTTATTTCATAATATTAAGCCTAATAATATTAACATAATTTGCAATGCAAATACAGCTGTAAATTTTTCCAGGATTTAAGTGCTATGGCATGAATAGAGTAATGACTAAAAAATCAGGGTGCAGCTTACGGTATGAATTTCAATCGTCTATGAAAGTACTCAGAAAAAAAAAAGAAAAAAGAATCCTAATATGTATCAAGAAAACACTGATTCGATGCTAAATGTTTGGTTTAAAAGATGTGAAATAAAAATGTTGTTTTTCTTAGTCTATTGTAGTTGTTGTAAAATTTAAAAAAAAGTGTCACCTAAATAGAGGCAAGATTGTGCTGATTTTACCAATCTGTTGTTGTTTTTATATATTATAGAATGTGAAGCAGGCAAGTATGGCGCTGACTGTCGGCAAATTTGTCATTGTGACGCTGTTCAGTGTGATCCTTCCAAAGGCTGTGATGAGGACGCAACATGCCACACTGGCTACAATGGTACAAGATGTTTAGGTAAAAACATTAAACTTTAAATCACAATAATTTTGTTTATTAGAAACAAATAAACACGTACGTTCGAATTTCCTAAATTTGTTGTGATTTGTTTGTGGTTATAGTAAAAAGTACCAAGACCATATAGGCCATGTACAATAGGTCACTGATTGGATGAGTGCTCTGTGTTGACAAACAGATCCATTTTGAAAAGCTCTTTAATGTTGCCTAAAATTTGGCAAGTGAATTTATGAGACCATGGTAGCGCATGGATTTAAAGCGGTACCAACAATTATGTTCTGACACTTACATCCACCATCACTTGATTTCTCAGATTCAACCGCCATTATCAAAATAATTTGTGAGGACCGTACAGATAATTTGACGTGTGACTCTATGTACACGATACGCGTACTTACTGCAGTCTATGGCCGAATGCACCCTGGTGTGGTTTACTGTGATCACCAAGATATACATAGCACAGATTGCGCGATGGACGTGTTTCAGGACATCTCTGGGAGGTGTGATGGTAAAAACAGATGTCCTATAACCGCTTCAAATAGCAATTATGATGACCCTTGTGAGGGTACCCACAAGTACTTGAACATTAAATATGAATGCATGATACTTTCTGAAGGTAATTCCAATTATCTTAAGTGGCGTACGGTAAAATGGCCAAAGAAAATGCGCCCCCCCCCCACCCTAAAAAAAAGGCCCAAGTAAAAATGGTCACAAATGAGAATAGGTCAAAATGGCTCAGTGATAAAATTTAGTAATAAATCTGATTTAAAACTATTTCAACTACATAAATGCTGCAAAAATTCTAACATTGAATCAATAAAGCAACATTGATACCGTAATGATTTAAAAAAAAAAATTAAAATATTTTATTTTTCCAAAAGGAATCTAACAATAATTTGCCATTTAAATTTTTTGTAGAAATTATATAAACATTAATAAAATATTCTATAGATTTAATTTTTAATTAGTAATAAATAATTTTTTTTAATTGTCGTTTTTATATATATATTTTTATTATGTTCAATATGTAATTGAAATATCTGTAGTCATCAACGATATTCTAGTGGCCACTTAGTTTGTTAAATATTTGTTTTAACTATCTATTAATAATGAATCGGTTAGGTCAGAGGCCTATGATAAATAAATGCTTCTATAAATACATTTAGGAAAAAATGCCACTCTGTTTCTGACTTTAAATTAATAACATATTTGTTTCTTGTAAATGACCTATTCACATCTTAATTCAACTTTTGAGGTATTTTCTTTTCTTTAATGTGCAATTTTACTTAAGATCAAAATAACAAAAACAACAATATATAAGATTTGTCCACGTTTAACTTTCAGACAGTCCTACATCTTTCAGAGGGCACACCACTCATGGCATTGTGCATTCTAGTCATCATACGGCGTGTAGTGTGACAACAACTGATGGTAACGTACTTAGTACCAAATTAACATGGACCTACAATTCATACTATAGCTCCATGATAGTTTGTTTAGGCATGGAGGAATATGTTTAGACTAAACTTATTCGCCCATGATGGTTTAAGTCATGTATCAGTCAATCGCGAACCCTGTTGGTAAAGATGATGAAGAATGGTTGATGCCAGATAGTTATACACATATATGCACTAATCCTTTACTTTACAGCACTACTGAGGTTATTGTAATGGAATATTTTAACTGGCAAAGTAGTTTTTGAAGATTTTTCAGATTTCAATACCAGAATTATTTTGATAAGGACATTCACAGTCATCCACCATTATATGCACTGGTCTGGTTGTAAAAGCAATCTACCAAGCCGACTTTCAACGATGAAAAATTGTTTCTGGACAACGTGTCGAATGCATTCAATCCTGTTGAATTACCGAAATGAAAAAATATGGCTGGGATAACCATGTTAAAAGAAGTAATGATTTTTGAAAATTATCTTATGATAATTATTTTTTTTTAAATATTTTATCGATAAAGACTATAAATTAAGCCTATCAATACATTATTTTCAAAAAAAAAGAAAAAAACGCCTACTTAACTTTCAGCAATGAAACATACGATTCAGGCATAAATTTAAGGAATAGTTTTACTGTAATAAAGTTCCCTTTTTGTCGTCTCCTTTGCTTATATACTAAAGATTTGTTCAGCTTTCGTGTTGTGGTTTAACTTTTTGCAGATTTTATTCCCATGCCGAGTTTAGTACTTTGCCTATTTTTCCTCAATAATTAATTTGAATTCTGTCATAAGTTTTTTTTTTTTTTTTCGGAGGAGATACACCCACTTTCTATGTCATAAATTTCTACCGGTATATGTTTTAACATAATTTTTTCATCTATAGGTAGTATACTCAGCAAAATTATTCTAAGGCAATGAATTGAAGCTACAAATATTGGCGTATGTTATTCAATCCAATCCAATCTTTGACTTACAAGGCGCATTACACAAGCCTCAATACGCCAATTTGAGGGAGTGCTCAGGAAAAAAGAAACAAAGAGAGAAAGGTGAATACAGGGAAAAAGCAGCAAGCAGAAAAGAGAGAAAAGAAGGAAAAAATAGACATAAAGAAAACATTAAAATGAATAGTCACATTTCAGCATTGATTTCCAAATACGATCTTCGAGATATCTATACGATTCAGCTATATGATCGTGCATGGTTTCAATAACACATTGAATTAGACTGTTGCAGTGTTAAATCGCATTTGACCGTCAATATCAAAACGGTATACGTATTGTATCGCTTAAAAATTATATAGTAAATTTTAGGTATATTTTATTAGTATAAGTTTTGTGAATAATATAAAATTTGACACTAAACAATGACTTGGCAGCAGACATAGTCTAATCGTAACATTAATCCGATCATCTTAATTATTATTCAATTGAAAGATGTTTAAACAATTAATTATCATTGACATCATTATTACTATTATAATTATAGTTATAAATTGTATTATTATTATTATTATTATTATTATTATTATTATTATTATTATTATTATTATTATTATTATACGGTATAATAAATACAATCAACAATCTTATGCATGAATTTGAAGTCCTACTTTATGGACAATAAATAGCGTTCCTGTACCCTAATATTAACCCATACTCTCAATTTAACCCACCCTAAAAACCAACTAAAGATCAGGTGCTTTACTGTATTTTCAGTATATCTATGATCATAAACCCGAAAAATATAACAAAATATTAATATAATCTAATAATATACCAAAAATGCCAAAATGATGTCCATCTTTTGATATATGTTATTGAATTTATTATGAGTTTTAAATAATGTACAATCAGATATGTTTTAAATGATTCTTTTGTGTTATATTACTGGTAGCTTAATATAATAATCAAGTTTTGTAGAATAAAGAACCATACAGTTATTAGTTTATAACCGCTCGGCATCCTTTATAATAATATTTATTTTCTCTTGATTTTTAGTAGTATGATATTAATATAACAGTAGAGTTTATAATTCTGATTGTAATCGCAATTTATAATCACAATTCACAATTAATTGTGTTGAATGTGTTATGATCTATAATTGGTCGGTCTTGTTTTTAGAATAATGACTTCTTCGTTTATTTTTATTACCATGATGGTGGAATATATAATTGAAATTTGTAATGTTTTAAATCGTCCGGCCTTCTTTATATTCATAATAGAACTTTCTTTCTTAAAGTTTTTAGTAGTAAGATATTAAGTTTATAATACTAACATTAAGTTTAAAATGCTAATAATAATGAAAATTTGTATGATATTTTATAGTTTGGTTTATAATCCTCCGGCCTTGTATTTTGTATGATATTTTTTTGCAGTTTTTAGTTTAGTTTAGTAAAATATTATGCTACTAGAGTTTAAATTGATACACATTGTAAAGCCGCATTATGTATAGTCTCATGGCGCAAATGAATTGTTTTATAATACTTATTATGTATTATTAAATAAACCGATTTATTTTTTGTTTTAAAATTACAATAGCATTCATACTATCAATTATAAAAATTATCGAACGCTTATGCTTTATTTACAGCAATGCTTTTTTAAAACACATGTGACTATTTAACAGTACAGTGTTAATTTGTATTAAGATAATATAATCATTTGTATAAACCATTTTATTTATAAAAAAATATCTGATAGGCCTACTTGTTGTTTTTCAAAATTACAATCACAACTAGACTTACTATGTCTGTTTGAACAACAGAACATAGGGCATCTCCCCATTACTTTAATGAGAAATGAAGTTGAAATTGCAACAAAAAGAAAAGTCGTTAAAACGTATTAAGTAAAAAGAAAAACACGGAAAATTAATATAATTTTAAATGAAGTGGAAAAAATTGAAGTGGAAAAAAAAAAGAAGCAAATTCATTGCGGTGTTATTATTGAGCCTGGAACTATGGCTGCAATGGTAATAGCTAAGTACATCGTGACCCATAACCAATGCACGCTATATGAGCCGACATTGAATAGGAAAGTACATTTTCAGTTCATAGCGATTCAATGAACGAAAGAAAATGTCATTTTTATCCATCTATAACTGGGACGTAAGGAATTTAAATGACCCTCAAATTTACAGCCCAACCTGGATCGTCCCCTACATAAATATCTTCCTTGTAACTTGTGTTAAACTTTCCCGAAAGTTTTATTCGGATCAGTTGACCAGTTTTTGAAATATCTGGTCTAGAACGTTTTCCTTTAACTGTACTTCTGAGAAAAGCCAATAATCTATATAATGAAAAATGTACGGTAATGCATTTTTCTCCACTTTTTATAGCATCATTTATATATTTTTTTAAATCCGGGTTTAATACGCAAGTGTGAATAGCTTGCAACTAAATCACGAATATAATACTACTATTATAATAATATTAGGTTTTTGTTATTAATGCATTTATTATTGCATATTTATTATTACTTTATTATAATTATATACTATTATTATATATTACTTATTTATTAATCTTATTATTAATGAAAATAAGAATAATAATTATTTAATTGTTTGTATAAATTGTCAGTTATCAGTTCGCATATATATATATATATATATATGTATATATATATGCGAACTGATAACTGACAATTTATTGTATTTTTTAAAATTATTTATTTATTTTTGTATATATACATATATAT